AAAAAAAAAAAAGAAAGAAAGAAAAGAGTCTCTGTCCCCTGCATTATTTCTATTCAGCCCCACTGCAGTGTGTGAGGTCCATACTGCTTTCACTCACATTTTACAGATGGAGAAGCAGAGACCAGAGCTACATGAGCTCCTTTTGAGTTTAAGGCAGTCTAGGAGAATGGGTATCTACTAACTTGCACCTCAGTTTGAGTCCTAGCTCACTGGTTTCCTGTGGCCTTGTTTAACCACTGGTCCTGTCTAGGCCTCAGGGATGCTACCATTTAATGAGCAAAGCCACAGAGTAGGCATAAAATGTTCCCTTTTTTCCCTTCCAGGGGGAAGGATTTGAAAGAGCAGCACGATCAGAAAGTATGTGAGAGGGAGATGCAGCGAATCACCCTGCCCTTGTCTGCCTTCACCAACCCCACCTGCGAGATCATGGATGAGAAGACTGTGGTGGTCCATGCCAGCCAGACTCCAGTTGAGATTCAGGAGGGCAACATTCCCTTTATGGACCAGGCCGGCACTCCTGGGGCCTGAGTGGCTGCAGTGGACAGGAGCCCATGGTGACACTGGTGCAGGATAGCCCACTCTCCTACAGCTGGGAGGATCTACATTTTGTGTTATGGTTAAAACCCTACCCCCACCTTTTTTTTTTCTCCTTGTGAATCCTAATAACTGATAGAAGCAAGTGGCGCTGTGGGCTAAGGGCAAGGCTGGGCAGGCTCCAAATAATGCTCCTCCATTCCTTGGAGCAGCATTTTGCTGGTGGATGGAGATAGCAGCAGCTCCCACTGTGGTGCTGCTGGCAAGGGCTTCCAAACATTGCCTGTACTCCTGGAATTGAACCAGGGACAGACAGGGAACTTCTCTGTGCTTTACTATCTAAGATGGCCTCAGTCTTCGTGATGGGCTTGAGTGGTGTACACTGTTATTCATAGTTAAGGTCAAGCAGGTCAGGAGGTTGTGTTGAAAAAATAGTTTTTAAAGTATCCAGGACAGAATTTCCTACTGACCTCTGAGAACCAGAAATGAGTTTGTACAGAAGTCAGAACTTTGGGCTGAATGTGAGAGCTAGGCTGTGGGCTGCGGGTGTGCTCCAGCTTGCTGGCAGTGATGTGCCTTGACAACCGTGGGCCAAGCCTGGGCCCAGGGACCCTTCCTGTTTTGTAAGAAAAGGAAGGGAAGAATTGCACTGAACATTCCACTTAGGAAGAGGGTAGAGAAGAGCCATTCTAGCCTTAGGTTCCAGGGGCAGAGGTGGACCTGAGGTACCCTGGACAGTCTCTCTTCAGGGGTGGACAATGACTTCTTCATTTTGCACGGATAAGACAGCAGCCAACTAACTCATGGGAATTATACTGTGGGGTCCTTGTGAGCTGCTTCTGGGAAGTTAACCTGGAAACCAAGCTCAGAGGCAAGGTAATAAAAGCACTTCAGGGCTTTCCCCTGCAGTGGACCTGTGTTCGCAGGTGGTCCTGTGGCCTCCAGGCTAGCACCTTCCTGTTGGGCAACGAGGCTAGGTTCATAACCCTTATCTTGTAAAAGAATAATCACAGAACCACTGGAAAGGACCTTAGGTTTCTTTAAACCTTTTGGACATGAGCCCATGGAGGGAAAAGGGCTTGCCTAAGGTCACAAAGCAAGCTACAGGCATGGCTAAGAGGAAAGCCCAGCTTCCTGACTGAGCGCAACATTTTTCTCACTGCACTGTGCTGGTGGCTCAATAGGGTTTCCAAGCCCTGATGCCACACTGAGGCCTTGGCAATGCTCCTTAGCCACAAAGCTCCCTTCCAAGAGCCCTTCCAGTGCCTGACATGGAGAGTGGGGCGGGGTTAGTGAAGTCTGTTCCTTTCAGCAGGCTGTTCCCTGGAGTCATTTGCCTGGAGACCTAGACCTCAGGTCTTGGTGTTCGTGATGCTAGAGAAGAGAACACTGCTGGTTTCTACTTTTCTATGAAAGAATTTCTCTGTATACATGTTTTATATACCTCATTCTGATACCTGCATATAAAGTGTGGGACAATGCTCTGTATTTGACATTAAAAAAAAAAACGACTATGTTGCCAGGTTTTTGTGGAGTGACAGGAATACTCCCTGTAAGTTGGAAAGCTTTGGATTACCTTGTCAACACCTGTGTGGAAAGCTCTGGCCTCTTCTTCATTCACCCTGGCCCTGTTTTTTTTAGTTTCATTTCGTTGCCCTTGGTAGAGTGCTATGGCATCACAGCTCACAGCAACCTCCAGCTCTTGGGTTTAGGCAATTCTCTTGCCTCAGCCTCCCAAGTACCTGGGACTACAGGCGCCCACCACAACACCCGGCTATTTTTTTTTGTTGCAGTTTGGCCAGGGCTGGGTTTGAACCTGCCACCCTCAGTATATGGGGCCAGTGCCTTACTCACTGAGACACAGGCACTGCCCCACCCTGGCCCTGTAATTGGAAAGTGGCAACAACTGAATGTTTGGCAGCTGCAGCCTCCACATTCTGATTATCCTCATCACCAAGAATCTTTTAGGTTGAAACTGCAGGAAGGATGGGGGTGTGGGTGTCCCTTGAGGGCCATTGGTCACTGCAAATCTTTTACCTTTCTGCATTCTGAGGTGGGAGTGGTTAAAATGAATATCCAGACAGCCCTTGTTAGGGGCTAGAGGCAAAGTGGGGCTACAACAACCAAAGAAATCACTGCAGAGAGGGTTGTGTCATTGGGCTACCTATAACAGTGCTGGGTTTAGAAGGTTCCTATGAGGTGACTCCTAGGCAGGTGTCCTCAAACTATAGCCTGCAGGCCACATGCAGCCCGCCTAGGGCATTTATCTAGCCTGCTGGATTTTTGCCATGGCTGCCTGTCCTGCTTAGCAACTGACTCGTCCCGGGGCCCACAGTCTGAGGGATAGTGGAGTGGGCCCCCATTTAAAAAGTTTGAGGACCCCTGCTCCTAGGGCTCCAGAAAGGATATCAAAGGGAATGTTTCCTGGACTTTCAGCAATTGGTTCTCAGCCTCTAAGAATACTTAGGGTAACTTGTGCCCATGCCCAGACATTGCTCTATAGCTCTGGCAATGCACAGCCCAGATCATCAGGTGCATTTTTTAGGAACCAGATTCTGCCCTTAAGTTGGATTCTTCAAACTTAGGCAGTGCTTGAGAGAAATCTACTTTGGGTTTGTGGATTTAAACTGTTCACAAGACCCCACTAACTAGGTACTATCATCCTGCCCATTGGTCATTCTTCCACAATATCCCCCATGTGCAAAAGCAAGAAAAGGGTTTTCTCCTCTTAAGTACTTATAGGGAAACACAAGGGTGGGGGTGACCTGTACTTTTCTCCTTACAAAAGTGGCACCCAGCCCTAAGAGAAAGCCAGGACACTGAGGCTGGAGAAGTGTTTGTGTATTAGAGGGTGGGAAGGTAGGGCTCCTAAGGAACCATTCACCTGGCAGGGGGAGCTAGGCAGACCAGCTCTGTGGGCTAAGATGAGGTCACAGTCGAACCTGCTCCAAGGAAGGGTCTGCCTCAGGTGAGATGTACATGTTATCTGCAGCAGGTTGGCACTTGCTTAAGGAGAGGGGTTTAGACTTGGGAGCATGAAATCTCCCTGTTGTGTGGCCTGGGCCTTAAGGTGGCCAGCAGACCCTCCACACTTTTCTGAGCTAGGCTTCAAATAACTTTTTTACTCTCAGTATTGCCAGTTATGTTAACTGCTTAATTTATTTAGTCTGCTCAATGGCCCAGTTCAGGCCCACCACTCCCACACTTGCTGGGGACAGCTGAGGTACAACCAGCCACACAATGCTGATGCTGAAGTGGGAGTCCAGGGCTTACCCCTACAGCAAGTTTGCAAACTTCACACAGAAGTACAGTCTATACAGCAAGTAAACTCTAGTGAGAGATGACATCTGATTCCACAATTCAACAGATCTATGTATAATATTTCACATATCACCCAATTGATACAAGATAATATCAATAGCAACCACTCTCCTGGATCATTCCCCCCACCCCAATACAACCACCACATGTTGCATTAATACCCTAAACCCATTCCCAATTTGTTAAATATGGTGTAAGCTCACACTTAGGAGGCAAATCTAGTTGTGCTGAAGAATCCCTGGTGCTCTGGGAGACAAGATAGAGGGTGCCCCCAGGGCTTTCCAGGGCCCAATGCTGTGGCTCAGGAGGCTGCTGCCAGGAGCTGGGCCAAACAAGGGAGGTAGAAGCCAGATGGTCTAGCTCAGGGAGCTTTTTCTCTCAGCATCTCAGCTCTGAGACTGCCACCACCTCTTCCCAGCCTGAGCTGCTGCCTAAACAGGTATGTTGAAGGGTAAGAAATGGGTGCTACAAGGCCAAGGCCAAGAGAATGCTGAGACCCCCCCACTCCTCTGGCCTCAGACCCAAGGACTGTGACAAGCCATACTGTCCTCCAGAACCCATCTAACTTTAGGCAAATGTCTTAGGAGCCCACCAGGATATGAGGAATAGTAACCAGGTTATGGGACTTCTAGAGGGCAGAGCCTCTTTCCTTCTAGCCCCCAGCCTCTTCCTGTGCTGGTGATTGCTGCAGAAAGGATGTTGCCCAGAAGTTCTTTTCCAGTCTCCAATAATAAGTTTGAGAACATGAGGTGGAAGCTTCCTTCACACTGATGTGGTCCCTGGGCTGGCTAGAGCCCCTGGCAGGTGAACAGAAGCCAGCCCTTTTCCTGACTCCTGGCTGTTCCACCAATGTGGACTAAGGGACTCTTTAAAACCTATTCCCTCAACCTCTGCTCAGGATCTGGCTGTGATGGAAGGGGGAGCACCACTGTCATTTCATACTGAGTGTCATCTGGCCATCAGTTTTCTTCTTGTCCACATTCCCACTTGAAGTCCTTATGTACCCAGCTGGACTAGAGACTTCAGAGCTTACAGGTGGGGTTACCCTGGAATCCTGCCCAGCAGGCCCAGGTTATGCTGATTAGTGTAAGCAACAGTGAAGTGGATCCAAGTAAGATTCCTCCGGGCCCTAAGGCCAAGGCTTTTTTTTTTTTTTTTTTTATCTTCTTCACAGCTTTCAGGCGAGTGTTAGATTTACAGACGGTAACCAGGCCCCCAAAACTGTGGAGATATGATTCCCTGGTGCTGCGCCTGCTCGCCTCCTGGAGAGGTAGTAGGGATGGCTTATTTTGCTTCGAAACAAGCCGTCAATCCACAGGAAGCCCGGACAGCCCTGCTCACAGCAGGGATGGGGCGCAGAGGGGCAATGCTGGTTGTGGAACACCCCCCTGCAGGGGGCTGGGCCAAGGCTAGGGAGGTGAGTCCCGGGTGAGGCCATACTGCATGCTCACAGTGTGGTCCAACTCCTCCAGCTCTGCAGGCAGTGGGATGGCCAGCTCCCCCAGGTACAGGGAGAGGGCCTCAAAGGAGTCCTCCAGTTTTGAGAATGCCGGTCTAGAAAGAAAAAGGTGAATCAGAGGCAGGTGGAATATGAGGGCCATGGGGTGGCATGGAAGGAATCCAGATTTAGCCACTTCCTGGCTGTATGACCTCAGGCCAACCCCTTAACCTAGGTGTGTCTCTGAGAAATGGGCATGATATGTTACTGCTACCTCACAGAGTTGCTATAAAGATTAAAGGTAATGGGCGGTGCCTGTGGCTCACTGAGCAGAGCGCCGGTCCCATATACCGAGGGTGGTGGGTTCAAACCCAGTCCTGGCCAAACTGCAACAAGAAAATAGCCGGGGCTTGGCGCCTGTGGCTCAAGCGGCTAAGGTGCCAGCCGCATACACCTGAGCTGGCGGGTTTGAATCCAGCCCAGGCCAGCCAAACGATAGCTGCAACCAAAAAATAGCGGGGCGTTGTGGCAGGCGCCTATAGTCCCAGCTACCTGGGAGGTGGAGGCAGGAGAATCGCTTAAGCCCAGGAGTTGG